AAGATAAAGGAAGAAATAGCATCTATAAAACAAGAACAGAAAGATATCAAACAGGAACATTATGCAAAAATGAACAGATCTACAAAACCAGCAATAAGAACTAAGTCCCTGACTTAAAAAGAAAATATCTACAGATGGGTTAGTTGATACAGCTGAAGAGAGAATTAGTGAATGAGAAGATAGAACTGAGGAAATCCTCCAAAATGAAGCACAGAATAGAGATTTAACATATGAGAAAGAAGAGACAGAAGATTGAATGAGAAACTCCAGTATGTGTTATTAGTTTCAGAAAGAGATACTGGAAATAGTGACTAGGCTCTTTCCAGAAAAAAATACATAAATTTCTAGATTTAAAAGGCCCACAAACTGCTTAGTAAGATATCTTTAAAAACAAAACTGTATCTAGACACCTTGTAGTTGACGTATAGAATGTCAAGAATAAAGAAAATCCTAAAAGCCACCAGAGAGGAAAAGATAGTTTATCTACAAAGGTCCAATAATTGAGTTGACAGTAAACTTCTCATCAGCAACAACAGATGCCAAAAGACAGTGGAATAGTAGCTTCAGAGTGCTGAGTGCAAATAATTGTGAACCTGGAATGCCATACCTCTCCAGACTCATTTAAATGAAAGAACAAAACGACATTTTGACACGGCCAAGATCTTAGAAAGCATCTGTCCCACAGACCTTCGCTGAAAAAGAGAGGCCCAGGGGCTTGGGGAAGGTGCTGTGAGTTTGCAGAGGTGCTGGGGCTCAGTGGAGAGCTGGGACTCTAAGGAGGGCTGGAGACTCAGAGCTGCAGAGAGAGCCTGGGCTCTGTTCTGGACTCTCCTCAGCACCAGACAGCCTGGTCCCACTGGGGCTCAGCCCAGGCTCTCCCCTCCTAAGGACTGCAAGCCTTTCTGTCCTCCTGTCCCTTCTTTCTGGGCCATGGTGGTGGCCCAACACCCAAGCTGGCTGTGACTCCAGCAAGAAGCCACTCCTTGGTTGCTCAAGTGTCTGGGCACTTGACCACTACCCTAGGGTCCTCTTCTCTTGGAAGGTCAGATGCCCCTCAGACAAGATTGAACCTCTAGGAAAAAAGTTAGGGCATTTCTTAACTGCTTTGAGCCTCAATTTCCTGCTTATAAAATGAGGAGAACACCTTTCTAATGAGGATATGAAGATGAAATGAGAATCCATTTAGGTGACAAGTCTTAGACCCATTTTCCTACACAAAAAAGTTCTTAAATGACTCACCTCCATCCAAGACCCTGCCTAGCAGGTTATCAGCGCTCAGTAAAAAATGTTAACAAGAGAAAGGTCCTGGGGAGGACAGCCGAGCAGAGGCAGGAGTGTGTGTGGTGCTGACAACCCTGTCTGCAAGTTCAGCTGTGTTCATTCCCTCACTCACCAGGTATTGCTACGTTCGGTGCCAGGCTCCGTGTGGGGCTCTGAGGCTCAGAGAGGACCCTTACTAGAGGACCAGGATAGAAGATTCCACCAGAGCCTAATCTGGTCTCGTGTTCAGTGTCCATCTCCCCTTTTTCCAGATATCCCATAAGTGCCAGGATGGCAAAGACCTCCCCTGACTAGTTTTCAGCTGTATTCACAATGTCCAGAGCAATGGCTGACACCCAGAAGATACCAAAAATACCCACTGAAGGACCGTCTGTGCTCTAATAATATAGAGGCTGTCTGAACGGGTCTTCGCTGACTCTGTCCCGGGAGTTACAAGTTTCTCAGCAAGGACCATTTAAATTGGGTCTTGATGGATGTATAGGAGATCGATACATTAAAAAAAAAAAAAAAGTAAAAGGGCATTCCAGGCATTGGAGCCAGCACAGTCTGAAAACATGACGGTGAGTTCAGGATCCAGTGAGTAACTGGGTGGTGGGAAGGAGTGGAAGGAAACAGCTGGGGAGGTAAGGACCTTGAACAAACTCAGGCTGTCAGAAAGTCCTTATGAAAATCTAAACAACTATCTTGATGCAATACTCTGGAGAGGGTAGTGTTTCCAGCCCCCGCTGTTATCGTAGGGAGGCCCCTCCTTTCAAAGGGTGAGAGTTTTATCAGGAAGGGGGCTAAAGAGCTTGCATCCCTTGAGAAAGGGGCGTCAAACCCCCATTATTTCCTAGAATTGCTTCAAGTTGGGATTTGGGTGGGATGGAGCACCTCCCAGACTAAAGTGAGGGCTGTGTGCTGCCCCCTCGTGGCCACAGCAGAACTGAGCCGCAAGGAAGCCAGCCGTATCAGTGCATCAGCCGCTCAGAATCCCAGGGTCTCCAATCTGCCCCCTCAGCCTCTTGGCTGCCCCCAGAGTAGACTCAATTGCTTTATTTATTTCATTTATGCCGAGGGCTGGGCCAGTGGGCTCAGGGAGGCTGAGAGAAAGGAAACAGTTCCTATTTAGTAAAAGCTTGTTCCTTCTTAAACACACAGACGCCACCTTTGGCCAGAGAGCAACTATGTTCGCACAGGGAATCAGGAGGGCAGGGTTCTGATTTCAATTCCGCCTGATTCAGAGTGACCTTGGACAAGTCACTGCACTTTGCCAGGGCTCCCATGACTCCATCTGTAACACACGGATCATGATCTCTCTTCCTGTCTCCCCTGAAGGGTCACCGAAGATCATCAGGAGGACAGACGCTGCAAGCACTGGGGAAAATGTTCGAAGAATGCTCCGGATGTAAGGGGATCGTGCTGGGTATTAGATAGGGGCTCGCTAGGGCTGCACCACAGGGTTTGCTTACACAGGACGGGCCCTGCTGGCAGGGTGATTTAAAGGGGACGTGCTCGGCAGGGAGGCTGCTCGCCAATCATAACTGATCGAAACAGCTCCAAAGCAAGAATGGAAGTCTACGGGTAAATGAACCATTACCTGGCTCGCAACTCCAATTACGTCTGGGTCTTCAGGAACGAGCTGAAGAGCAGCAAGGTGAGCCAGAAGGTGCCATGAAATGACGGTGGCACTTCCACCCTTTCTCTGAGGGTAGGAAGGATCCTCCTGCTCACTCCTTTGCTCTCTGGCATCCTCTCCAGGTAGGGTTGTGCTGTTTCAGATTTGTTTGGGTATAGGACAGCTGGAGAGGGGGCAAGACGCACTTCAGAGAAAAGTTCAGAGCTGGACAGGAGGGTCAAAAGCACACGAGGCCTGCCCGTGCTATGGGGGCCTTTATTCACAGTGATACTGTCACCTGCTTTACCTACCCTCATGACATTGGAGGGTACCATGTATCCAAACCCTTACCATCAGAAAACTCTGCTTTTGGGCCAACTCATGGCCTGGTGGTTAGGGGAGCTGGATCCCACATGGCTGACTGCACCATTTGAGTCCCAGTCTCAGTGGCTTGAACGGTATGTCTGGTGCATGTGCACACATGCCCAAAATCCCAAAAGAAGGGATGGTGGCCATTTGCCATGAGGGGTGCTTCCCCTCTCTCTGGCAAGCACACATGCCTTCTGGCAAATTAAAAAAACACGTGTTTGCTTTTGCAAAACAATGCTGTCTTCCTCTAGTGTGAATCCTTACCTGCTTCCCTGCTTTTGTCTGGGTGGCCAGCAAACTCAGGGTCAAAAACCCCTAACTGTGTAGGTCCTTCCGGCCATATTTATGTTCCTGTTCTCCTGATCTCCTGACTACATTTTTCCTCATTTTAATTTGCCCTGTTTTATCATTTTACTGTGTTTTCATTGCAAGCTATCGCCGTTTTGGTGGGATGAGATGAGGTACCCTGAGGAAATGGAATGAAATAGGTGACAGATGCTCAAGCACGTCACAGACTACCAGCATCAGGAGACCAGTGACCAGGATCCCCCAACCCAGACAGAGAAGTGTATTTGGATCGGAGATCTGGGGAGCTCCTGGGAGTGAGGACAGAGGGCCATCCCGTTACCTGAACATTTTCTTACCAATTCTTGTCCTGTCCCCCTCGCTTACAGTGGGGGACATTTGGTGAGGGAGTCATAAGAGCATCAGACACAGGCTTGACAAGGGGCTCTAACAAGGGGCTGGGGTAAAGCCTCTCCCCATTCCCTCCTCACCCGAGACAGTTCCAGAGCCGAGGGAGTTGGCGTGGCTTTAAGGTGTGTTAGCGTTTTCTTCGCATCCGTTCACTGCTCTCCCCACAGCACACCCATTCTGGCTGTGAGGATGGCAGGGAGCGACAGCTGGTGCACCGCTGGCCTCCACGGCCAGCGGAGTGCTCTTTCTAGTCTCTCCACTTCAACGGGACGCAGGCGCGGGCTCTGGGATCCTCTGCTCCGCAGACAAGGAGCCTGGGCGGCCTCCACGGCAGATGTCAGTCTCACTTCTGGTAGTAAGATGGCCGTGGCAGGCGGTGTAGTGCCAGCCCGTGCCGGGAAGGCGCAGAGGGACTTACCCGCTCCTTGTCTGCGGGGCAGAGCCAGCACTCTCCGTGAGGGATGCCCCCCTAATCCCTCAACCAAGGGAGACACAGCTCAGTGTGACACATGTGCAGGCCAGTGAGTCAGGTGGGCACCTCTGAGTGGCAGGGACAGCCGATGAACTTCCCCTTCTAAAATCAGCTGAGGTTCTCAGTTGGAGTCAGAGGGTGGATTAAGTTCCCTTAGCTTTTTTGTTTGTTTGTTTTTAGTTCCCTTAGCTTTGGACACCCCCTGCTCACAAGGGTGCCCCGCCTACCCACACCCAACCCAAGCTCAGTGGCCCAATGAATGCCCCGGACACAGAAACCCAGACTCTAAATTATTGAAAATGAAATTTATTGCATTTCATGCAGTTTGAAGTCCATGCAGCAAAGGAGACTAGCACAATTTTTAATGCATTTTAAAAATAAAATAAAAAAGGGGGAGGGGCAAATGCACAAAGTTCTAGTCTCCGTGGGTCCCTGGGAGAGCAGGGTGAGGGGACAGAACCATCCGCTCTCCGTAGGGAATGAGTTCATCTCTTAAACACGAGGAATGTTTCCATGGCCTCTGGATGCAAACACACAGCCCTCTGGGGCAAGAACAGGGGCGTGTGGAGAAGACAGCCAGTGAAAAAGACGTTATACGTGTTCGCCTAATTCGATCTGAGGGCAGAACCAGGTGGCAAATCTTGGGGGCAGCAGCTGTTTCGAGAGCCAGGAAACACCGTCCACCCCTGGGGAGATTTGCTCCTGAAAAGCGGTGGCGGTAAGAACCAAACAAAAAAAAAAAAACTGAAAGAAATATTTCTTCAACCACACTCTTCAAGAAAATGCCATAAATATGTTATTTAATATTTTCATTTCATAGCATTGGACACACAGCTCAACATATTGAAATATTGATTCCTTGGAGGAGAAAAATGAAAAAAAGAAAAAAAAAAGGAAATAAAAACGACTGCATCTTTCTGTTGGAGAATCTTGCACCAGTGTCCTAGCCTGCAGGGGGCGCTGGGGTCGCCGGGTCCTCTGGGGAGGGAGGCTGTGCCCATCACCTGGGGCTGTATGGCAAAAATTGTGCTGGGTGTCCTTGGCCTTGCCAGCTCGGCCCTCAGTCGCCGGTCACCTGGGGGGCCTGCCCGTCGGAGGACTGGCTGGCTGACTGGATGAACATGGGCTGGGCGAGGTCCTGGCCCGCAGGCATGGTGACTTGCTGGATCTGGTAGAGCTGCTGCGAGGGGTGGAGAGGAGAGAGTGAGGTCACCCCTGGGAGAGGGGCATGCAGCTCCCTATGGGCCTCGAGCTGGTTGGGGGCCCCAGAAACTTCAACCACCACCCACTGCAAGGCGTCAGAGGGAGGAGGGGGCGTAGGGCTCTGCAGGGGTCGGGAGCAGCAGACACAGGAGGCCCCAGGCCGGTGTGCGGCGGGGTGTGTGGTAGGCAGGGAGGAGGTGCAGGGAGTTGAATTTCCTGCGGCTTTCACTTCTCTGGGCTCTGCCTCTCCCGTGAGCTCAGAGCCTCGAGCTGGCTGCACGCTGTTCCTCTGTGATAAACACAAGCAATTCGAACCACTGTACCAGCAGCTTGGAAGTCCGCATTTCCCCAACTCCTGGTAATCTTCACTGGCAAGGGGCAGTAGGACCACCCCTGCTCCTCCTCGCCTGAGAACACCTGGCTCAGGTAGAAGCTACGCTGAACCTAAATCCTACCTGGGCCCTGCTAAGGAGGGGCCTGGTATGAAACACGGAGCACAGCCAAGACCTGTGAGGGGTGGAGAAGACGTTCACGCAGCCACTGAGGAAGGTTAGGGTCAAGTGGCCACTGGCTTCCTAGGTGTCCCTGAAGAAACCAAAAGCCAAGACCCCCACGGAGCCTGGCGTGTAGGTGCAGCACCTGGTGCTGGCCAAAGCCAGACACGGGTCCTGAGGTGCGCTCCTCCCCCTTCGGGCAGCAGAGTACAAATTTAGGCATGTCATCCTCTCCTGTCCTCAATGGTCTCTGGGAAAGCAGGAGGGAAAAGGGAAAATTCCTTCCTTGCATGGGTTTAAAGTTACTGAATTCCAGGCACCAAGAAGTCACATGTTCTCTGCACTCAACGAATCTAAGCTTTAAAAAGCAGCACAGCTTACAAAAAAAAAAAAAAAAGTCCTAGAGAGGGAAGGGGAGCTTTGCATTCAGTCCTGGCTCGGCAAAGAGCAGCTCAGTGAACAGGGGCCACACTTCCAATGCCTAGGCTCAGGCAGGAACTGGAAAGTGGCAGTCGGGGTTACACGAGGTCCAGGACTACTTATAAAAAAAACAACAAAAAAAAAAAAAAAAAAAAAAAAGTCCTAGAGAGGGAAGGGGAGCTTTGCATTCAGTCCTGGCTCGGCAAAGAGCAGCTCAGTGAACAGGGGCCACACTTCCAATGCCTAGGCTCAGGCAGGAACTGGAAAGTGGCAGTCGGGGTTACACGAGGTCCAGGACTACTTCCAGCTCCCTCAAGCCTACAGACCTAAAGCACAGTGCCCTGACTTAAGCTGTTCCTACGTGAACCATTTCTGTCCGCTCTCTGTTAGCAGAGAACAGTGACCCTCGCGGCCAGCCCAGGCGATCCCTGCTGCCCTGCCCTCCCACTCCTCGCCCTGCCCTGCCCAGGCTGGGCGCCCTACCTGTCCATCTGTGAACTGGCTGAACTGCTGCTGTCCCTGCTGGACTTCGGTCTGTGTAATCTGCAGGAACAAAAACAGGAGAGCAGGCAGGTCAGCTGTGGGTCTGGTCGGCCAGTACACCCCGAGGGGGACCATGAAGGTATATGAGACAATAAATGTGTATAGGTGCCCGGAATGGGGCCTGGCATGGAACAGGTGTTGGAGAAAAAGCAAGGGTCCCTCCCAGTCTCCTGGACTGACGGCTACGCAGCCCTGGCACCATAGGCGTCCACCACCCACACCCATCTTTCTCAAGGTCCCACACTCCCCAGACCACCCCATCACTCTGAGGGCTGAGGCGTGAACAGGACACCAAACTCCTGGGCTCAGGAGCGGCAGACACGGGAGGCACCAGCCCAGTGTACAGCGGCAGGGAAATTCACGCTGATGTTTGGCGGTGGGAGCCCCAAGAGTCTGCCTTTCTAATAGCGAAGGCAGACTGCAAAACAGTGGGCACTGTGCTAAGTGGTCCTTTCCATTCTTGGAAGGTGGACCCCAAACCAAGTCCCTATCACCCAGATTATCTGACCGGAATACGAAACACCCTGGCGAGCAAGCGGCTGTGGCCCTGGCACTCCTGGTGGCAAACCTATGAGGAGCTTTTTCCAAGAAAGGCAAGGCCCTGCCGGCCAAGGAAGAGAGGAGAAGGGGGAGGGCCAGTGGGTGGAGCAAAGGAAACCACTATCACCTGCGCCAAAATCCCCTCGTGGGGACTTTGAAGTGCATTTGGAAATGTTTACCATTACATTTTCCGAGTATCTACTAAGTGTCAAGTTGCCTCACTTAAAGCCTGCCGTGGGGGCCAGCAGTTGGTTTGTAATGGCTGTGTCACTGGACTCCCATGTATGTGGTCGGCCGTGGTCTGAGTCCAGGACCCAGTGGTTTAAACTCATGCTGGGCGCATGTGTGTGTGCCCAAGATCCCGAGAGGAGAATGGAGGAGAAGGGATTGCGGTGTGGTCATTCCCCCTGGGGGGTGATTTCTCACTTTCTATCTGTCTTTCTAGCAAGTGCACGCACCCTATAGGAAAAACCTCTCAAAAATAAGTTAAAAAAAAAAAAAAAAAACAACCTTGCTGTGAAGGAGATTTTAACACTTCAGATACACCCTTCTTTTCCATCTTTCTCCAACTGTCCCCACTTTCTGGCTTTAGTTCATTTTACCAAACTGACCTCTGAGAAACCATTCCTCTCAATCCCATGCCATCAATTTTCTTCCAGGGGCTAGCCAGTGGTGTGGCAGTTAAGGCCCTGGATCCCACACAACTGAATGTGTGGTTTGAGTCCTGGACTTGATGGCTTGAAAAACATGCCAAATGTGTGTGTGCCCAAAATCTGAGAGGAAAATGGAGAGGGGAGTACACTGTAGCCATGTCCCATGGGGGCTCGGGAGGACTTTCTCTTTCCAGCAAGTGCATACACCCTATGACAAACTGAAAAAATAAAATTTTTTTTTAAATCTCAAGGAAGAATTTTACAAGGTATAAGGAAGGCTGCAAGGAGACACTCAAGTGTACGACCAGTCTAGAGATGTGAACTGGCGTTAGTGAGCACCCTGAATTACGGAAAACCCCGAGTCTTCGGGTGAGCCAGGACTTAGTACAGAAGGGCCCTTTAATGATCCAGAGGCTGGATGGAACAGAAAAGCCTTGCTTTTGGCTCATTCCTCACATTCTCCCAAATGAGATCTTCGGAGACCTGCTCCATGAACTCAGCTCTGTCACCACTGTCAATAGATGCATCACCAGAAATGCAACTGGGCCAGACGGGTCCGGCTCTTAAACGATCGCTGCTTTTTTTGGGTCTGAGGCAAAAGAATCCATTAACAACACTTCCCCCTGACCGGCGTCTCCCCCCATCCTCTGCACATGATACCCACGTCCCTCCACTCCTCAGGCCCAGGGAGCCAGCCCCCTTGGCATCTATGACTCACAGCCTTCAATAATGCGGGCACAGGAGATGAAAGGGCCATTGTTCTGGTTAGGGATGCAGAGTGGGGGTAAACCTAAGTAAGCTCTCCAGAGGCACAGGAGGTGCCGAACGTGACAGCTGTTTGGGTTTAAAGACAGAAACAGCCTGACCACTAGGGGGTCCATCAAAGCCTTCCCTTGGACTGAAGAGGGTGCACACGTCAGGCATCTTTCAGGTACCCCTGCGCTTCCCGATTTACATTTCTTTGCCTCCTGAGAACAAGATGGTCAGAAACGCACTTGGAGGAGCCAGGCGGTGGCACAGTGGTAGCACAACATTCTGCAAGGCTGACCCACATGGGAAGGTTCCAGGTTCATGTCCAGAGACCTCTCTGAACACAGGGTGCATGCGTGCCCATGAGCCAGGGCCAGGCTGAAGCTGGGTGGAGCTGTGTGTGAAACCCTCTCGGGACTATCTGTCTCTATTTCTCTCTCGCTCTCCTGTTCACAGAAGAAACAAGAGGGAGACAGAGAGGGACTCTGAATCAATCTCCTAACTGTCCCCACCTCCCTGGGTGCAGAACAGACACCGAGGGTGCAGCTGGGTGAAGGAGGAGGTGGCGAGGCAGCTGTGTGCTGAGCCAGAACCGGTAACTCAAGCCCTGCCTCTGCATCTCTGGGGCACATACCTGCTGCGCATTGGTGGCGAGTGTCTGGATCTGTCCCTGCACAACCTGGGTGCCTGATACGGGCTGGGCAAGGCGGATATACTGAAGCTGGCCGGCATTCAGCTGCACCTGTGGCAGGAGCAGAGCGAGAGTGAGCACAGGAGACTGGGACCGCCTTGAGCAGGCAAGCACTCCATGACCAGAGGCAGTGCTCGCCCCCTACCCACCCGGACCTCCAAAGAAGCTGACCCTGAAAAAGTACCTTTAAATGGAGGTCAAAACAAGCACAACCACGATGACCCCACCCCCAAAATAAGACAATACCCGCAGACAAAAGCCCAGACCTGTCGCCTATGTGAGAACAGTGGCCGTCAGCACCCGCTGGCTCTTGGCTGTGTGACCTCCAAGGTGACTGGCGTTCTCGGGATGCCCGTGTCCTAAGAACAGTCTCCTTCCTCTCCCACTCCGCACTCCCACACTGTGCGGTCCAGTGTCGCCAGGAGGCCACAGCAGATGGCCATGGTTCTGCACCGCGGCCCTAGCACTGCCACCCTACGCCGCCTGTCCTGAGGGGAAAAGCTGCTCTGCTTTACTATCTCTGTCCCCAAGAGCTGGGGCCAAGGGGGTCTGTGGGACTTTTAGGATCCTTGGTGTTCAGCACCAGCTCTGGCCAAACAACCCCCAGGGGGAGCAGAATCGATAAACCTTTCACAGAAAATGCCATCATGGGAAACCAAAACTACAAAAGTGCCCCCAGAGTGCCTCATGCTTACGATGAAGTCTCAGATAATATGATAATGCCACAAGCTGCATTTAATTGTGTGCTAAAAGCTTAACTCAGGCTCTTAACGCTCCGGTGTACCATGACAGTTTTAGAGCCTCGAGCTGGCGACGGAGGACTAGGGCATTGCGAGAAGTACGGTATGGCAGACAACGTGTGGAGGACTGCAGACAGTACCCCATGACTGAGGGGAATCCAAGCGGTTCGGGGAACACAGGCAGACCTGGTCTATCTCAACCTTAGGGGCCCCAAAACCACCCCCTCTGGCTGCCTGGCCTGACTTTGCTGCAAGGGGAAGCTTCGAGAGGCCGAGAGGCCAGTCAGGCCATTTCTCTCTGGAGCAAACTCCCCCTGGCCTTCAAGAGCTGACTTCGCTGGCTGTTTCCCTCTCCCAGGAGGAAAGTGCTGACAGCCTGAGGCTGCATCTCCTGCAGGCGGTGGGTGATCAGTCCGCTTTCGGCCTCACCAAGAAAATACAAACTCTGAAGTTCTTTGTAGACCTTTTCAGAACTGTCCACTGAGGCACAATGAAAGGACACAAAACCTAAACCCATTAAGAGTTTCATTCACAGGAGACAGGGCCATGTCTCCTCTGAGAGTGCGCCAAGGGGAGGTGCGGGGAAACTGTGGTGTGAAGGCTAGATCCCCCTAAGCCCTACAGAGCAGCTTTCGGGTGGCAACATCCAGTTGCTGGTGGGAATAAAGACAGCTGGGTGGAGGCTTGGGAAATGTGTAGCAAGACAGATGGCAGCTGGTCTCAGGAGTCACCAGAACCGCAGCCAAGGCTCACACGATGAAAGACTACTCCTGGGAGCTTCGTCTCAGGAGTAGGAGAAGGTGTGCTAACAGCCATGGGGATTTCAGAGTTGTAGCTGGGAAGCAGCTCTTTGCAGGAACCCAAATGTGACTGAAAAGCTGCGAGCCAAATCGTTCCAAGCAGTCCTTCAACAGAAGCAACCTTCTCTTTTAGGATTTGTTGTAGACGGCTGGTGGTGCTCCACCCCTAACACAGGACATGCCTGGAGGGTTTCAGAGCTTTTTATTTTATTTGTATTACAAAATAAGCCCACCTCTTGGGCTTTCAAAAGGGATGTAAAATTTCTTTTCTGAAGCATTCTGTCTGATGAGCTGCCTAAAGAAATGCAGGCTCCTGCAGGAGGTGCCTAGAGCAGCGAGCATGAGGTCATGAACTGTGCAACAGGTTTTCTGGGCTAAAGTTCTCTAAGGTGGGAACGCTTTTCTGGCTTAATAAATAAACCTGTTGGGCCAGCAGGTAAAATGGAGGTTCAGGTGGCTGGATCCCAGATGGCCAACCATGGGTTTGAGTCCCAGATCTGGCAGCTTGAAAAACATGCCAGGCATGTGTGAGAGCATGCCTAAAATACTGGGAAGAGAACAAAGGGATTGTGACATGGCCATGCCCCCTGCAGGGTGAGTTCTTGCTCCCCTCCAGCCCTGCAAGCACACATGCTCTACAGCAATAAGCTACAGGTTTTGGTGCTTTTACATGCAAAAATGAGAACCATACAAGAGACAGGACTTCCAATTTTTGTCTAAAACACTGAGGGAATGCAGAGTTCAGTTCTGGTATTGTGTATGTGTGAATGACATGCACAGACAGACACATGCACGTACTCTCTAAACTTTCTCCTGGCCTATTACTCAACTAACAAGAATAGTTCCTAAAACTGAGCTGAGGATACTTTTTGAGTTGGTTTCAAAAAGAAAATAGTTAACTGAGTCCAAGTTAGTTTCGACACCTACATCCACTGCATTTACAACAGGAAGAAGAGCAAGCGGCAGAACAGAAGTGTTCCACGTCACTCGCTTTCCAGTTTTTTGGTGGCAAAAGGACCAATGTATAGATTGCAAGTGTTAAGACAAGGACATTTGTTACAAAAGAACAAGTACAAGTAAAAAAGCCAACAAATCTAAGAAATGGAATCCCTCAAGGAGCACAGGAAGCAGCGGTCCACAGTGAGGGAATGGGTAAGTTAAATGAAAGCCAAAAATACACTTTGCTGCAGGCTCCACTGGGAACTGACTCATGAATATGCAACAAGTGTATTTATGGCCTTCCCTATACACCTCCTTCTCTTCTCTGCTAATCAAAGATAGGACTGCCTTGCAGGGCCTTTGGGTCTTGGCAAGGAGCGATGATTACAACGGTCTCTCTGTGTAGGTGGGGTGGGGGAGAGCGAGAGGAACTGCCCCACAGTGGTGAACCTGAACGTGGAATAAAGGAAAGTGGGAGTAGGCCTCATGGAACAAATCGCAGGGTGAGAGTAATGGGGAGTTCAGTTGAGAACGAGACACATACGCACATGCACACACACACACAGGGACTTGTAAAAGTTCACGAGGGTCAGCCCGGTAGTACAGTTAAGCACTGCATAGAGGAACCTGGATCCCATGTGTATCTAGGATCCTGACAGGATGGAGGATTAGAAGGAAAAAGAACTGTAGCATGACCAGGCTCCAGTGGGGTGCACCTCCAATGCTCTGCCCATAAATGTGCCCTCTTGGATTAAAAAAAGGTTTGTGGAAAAATGAAAGAACTAATTTACTTTGGTGTAAAAAGAAATAAATTTTTAAAATGTAAATTCATGGATAGTTTTTGACAATATGCATTGTCCATGAGCCTGTGTGTGTGTGTGTGTGCATTTACATATATGTGTGTAAATAAACGTGTGTGTGCATGCTCCCCGTCACAAGCCGAGAGCACGGCCTGCCCTGGGCGGGCTTACCGGGATCTGCTGGATCTCTCCCGTGTTGGTGATGATCTGTTGCATCACCTGCATGGTCTGTCCACTGCCACCCTGGGCCTGCTGGCCTTGACCCTGTGGCTGGGCTTGGACAATCTGCACCTGCTGACCTTCTCCAACCTGCATCGTCACGGGTGTGGTCTGGAAGGAGAGTTGTGAGAAAGATGTCTGAGCTTTGGCTCGGAGTCACAGAGGCTCATAGCGAGCAGTCAACAAGGAGTGAGCCCCCCACCCCATCCCCACCCCGCACCCCAACACCTACACTCATCTCAACACCAAGGACAAAACTGAACCCAGAGTCCTGCAAATTTCAGCACTGCTAAAGTTACTTTCCAAAACAAAAGATGGGAAAGCCAAACAGATTTTTAGGCTCACAGTACAGAATATGTTTGCCTGGGCCCCAAACATATATCTCAAATGCTGCAACTTTTCAAAGCTCCTTCAAGTGATGATCAGGCATGTATGGTATAGAAAATATAAAAAACCACCATGATAGTTCATCTGAGAAACAGCCAAAGTCAAATCCATAGCAGGTGAATTTGGAGAACAAAACTAAATGGAGAGGAGGATCGGTATGAAATTTCACTAAGTTCATGGTTCTGGGTTCCTTCTTAGACATATAAGACACTGGAAAGAAAATGAAAAGCACATGGACACATCAGCAAGGCTGGGCCAGTGCACACTGGCTGTGACCTCCATCCAAGCAAGAGAGCACCTCCTGCCCACACTGGTCCAGATGGCTGCTCTGGCCACAGCGAGGCTTTCCATGGGAGAGGTGAGGACTGTAAACACACTCAGCACTATGAAGACCTAGACAGAGCCTACCCCTAATTAACAGAACTTAATAAAGCAAGAACTCTGCAGAAGTGGCCACCTCAGATTTAAGAAATTCCTTGTTAATGCATATGAGTTGGCAGACGTGTCTTTCTCACACTTGTAGCCAGTAGTCCTGAGAGACAGTAAAGTACTAACAGTCAAAAGGGTCAGTCATTCCCTCAAACTGCACAACGTCAGCACCACATGTGACTCAGATTGCAGGTCTCGTCCGGTGTAGTGGCAGGAGGTGTGTGCACCTATATTCCATTCCTACCTCCCACCCCAGCGCATACATGATCTCTCTCCACTGTGAACTGAGAACCGACTCGGAATCTCCGTGAATTACAGGCTGCAGCTGATGTTGCCATTCTAACGTTCTTAATTCTGACTGCGGAGGCCTGCTAGACATTACAACTAAGCATCTGAAGTTACAGGAGTGGAGATGTTTTGGGAACTACAGATGAGACTCAAGGAATTACTAAGTAAAGACAAATTACTATAAACTGGAGAAGCTTAAGAAGAAAGAAGAGTTCGGAGTTCTAAGCAAGCGCAATGGCTAGGGCAACAGGAAACATTTCTTCCATTCTCATACCAGGATTTTTCAAGTCAGACTACACCTAAACTTCGCAAATTTCAGCACTGCTAAAGTTACTTTCCAAAACAAAAGATGGGAAAGCCAAACAGATTTTTAGGCTCACAGTACAGAATATGTTTGCCTGGGCCCCAAACATATATCTCAAATGCTGCAACTTTTCAAAGCTCCTTCAAGTGATGATCAGGCATGTATGGTATAGAAAATATAAAAAACCACCATGATAGTTCATCTGAGAAACAGCCAAAGTCAAATCCATAGCAGGTGAATTTGGAGAACAAAACTAAATGGAGAGGAGGATCGGTATGAATTTTCACTAAGTTCATGGTTCTGGGTTCCTTCTTAGACATATAAGACACTGGAAAGAAAATGAAAAGCACATGGACACATCAGCAAGGCTGGGCCAGTGCACACTGGCTGTGACCTCCATCCAAGCAAGAGAGCACCTCCTGCCCACACTGGTCCAGATGGCTGCTCTGGCCACAGCGAGGCTTTCCATGGGAGAGGTGAGGACTGTAAACACACTCAGCACTATGAAGACCTAGACAGAGCCTACCCCTAATTAACAGAACTTAATAAAGCAAGAACTCTGCAGAAGTGGCCACCTCAGATTTAAGAAATTCCTTGTTAATGCATATGAGTTGGCAGACGTGTCTTTCTCACACTTGTAGCCAGTAGTCCTGAGAGACAGTAAAGTACTAACAGTCAAAAGGGTCAGTCATTCCCTCAAACTGCACAACGTCAGCACCACATGTGACTCAGATTGCAGGTCTCGTCCGGTGTAGTGGCAGGAGGTGTGTGCACCTATATTCCATTCCTACCTCCCACCCCAGCGCATACATGATCTCTCTCCACTGTGAACTGAGAACCGACTCGGAATCTCCGTGAATTACAGGCTGCAGCTGATGTTGCCATTCTAACGTTCTTAATTCTGACTGCGGAGGCCTGCTAGACATTACAACTAAGCATCTGAAGTTACAGGAGTGGAGATGTTTTGGGAACTACAGATGAGACTCAAGGAATTACTAAGTAAAGACAAATTACTATAAACTGGAGAAGCTTAAGAAGAAAGAAGAGTTCGGAGTTCTAAGCAAGCGCAATGGCTAGGGCAACAGGAAACATTTCTTCCATTCTCATACCAGGATTTTTCAAGTCAGACTACACCTAAACTTCCAGAAAGAAGTTCCCAATTTGTGACACAAAACACAGGATGCATTTTTGCAAAATATGTGTTGTTTCCAACTTTAACATGTCCTGTTTTACAAAGGACGTCCACTACACTTAACTTGAAAGAGCCTTCACTACAAGATCCAGGGAGATGTGACACGGCACAGGCCCCCCTGCAGCCGCAGGACCATGATAAAGCAGCTGGGAGATGCCGGGAAGAACCAACTTCATCATCCTCATAAGCTTATCAGCCCCAAGCTGAGCATGTCTGGGTTGGCAGCAAAGAGGATAGATGAAATTCTCGCTGACTAAAAAAAAATGCATGCTGCCAACTCATCACTGTACTCCATCAACCCAATTTTCCCGAGAGGATTTCCGAGGTATTTCTAAATCATTTCAGGAAAATGAGGGTTTGTGTTAGCATGGCAGCTGTCAAATCATGTATGGTGTGCCCCACTGTCAGGGCACACAGCCGTGAGCTGCTTAGGATGATCGGCCAATCAGGGCCAGCCCTGGGCGGACTCCCTGAAGCTCGCTCTGTAAAGGGATAAAGCCTTTGGCAGGTAAAGCTCTCACCACTGCAGAGGCACAAAGCACTGGACCAAGAAGGTCCTTCAGGCATCATGGTGCTGTGAATGCCTTGAGGCAGGAACTGGGCCACAACCATCTCTGAACCCACCTGCCAAGCTCAGTGTCTGGCATACCAATATATTTTGGTTATATAAATAGATGAGCAGAGAATAAATCCTAAAACCATAATTAATATTTAAGTCCACCTCCACCACATTTTTTTCCTTCTTTGTAGGACATGTAAGGCCATCGGGGTGTGCTCCCCGCCTATCTTTCCTCACCTGCCCAGATGGTCCCCTAGGCTGGCGGCCTCTTCCGAGCATGGCACACTGCTTCTCACCTCCGCACCTGTGTAGGTGCCATGCCCTCTACTGGCAATGCCACCCTTGCTCACTTTATGTGATTTACTCCGCTGGCCTTCAGAGAGTCACATTATTCCTTCCGGACCCTTCCCTGATCACCTCCTTCTCTCTTGTCTCTCTCACGTCTGTTAGGTACTCCTTTCAAAGTGCTCACGTCACACGGTGGACACAAACCAAGAGGGTCTTGTACTTCCCATATGGTGGCAGGACCTGTAAGTATTTGTGTCCCCAGCTAGACTGAATTTCCTGACGATGAAGAGTATTCTATTCATGCCTGTATCCCCAGTACAGAGCAGAGGGCTTCGCCAAGAGGATGCTCAAGGTCTGATGAGTAAACGAATGAATGACTGACAGAACATTCAGATTCAAAGCTCATAGTGCAGAGTTCTCTGTGGCCTGTCACGAACCCCAACAAAAGCAGATGTTACTTTTCTCACGACTTTCTCACGACTACGCTATTGGAGAGGGGGAATCTGATTACTAACACAAAAAGAGAAGGCCACTTGACACAACGTGGTGGACAGAGCCCTGACTGAGCGGGAGAGGAGAGGTGTGCATGCTGGCAGTGCTGCCCATCTCCCCCGAGGACTCGCTCCTGTTCTGGCACAGACACACAGACAGCAGGCGCCAAGCTCTCTCTACAGAGACCCCGCTACTCTCCACAGGGATGTTACAGAGATCCTGGAGAACATCCTGCTCACTGCACTTTCTTCATCTGACCTTTGAAGAAAACAGGGTGGAGAGAGATGAGGGTGATGCTGTCCCTCTGGTGCTGAATCTGGGGGAATGGGTAGGTTTTCAGACTTCGGGGTCAGCGCTCAGTAACAGCCTGGCTGGTCGCCCTCGTCAAGCTGCACCCGTCCCAAACCTAAGCGGTGCTGTCTTGCTGGGCGGGACCCCGAGCGGCAGCAGACCTGGCCCTGCTGAGGCTGTGCGATGATGATCTGCCCGGGCTGGAGGGTGGTCGTGGAGCTGTTGGTCTGCTGGCCTTGCTGCTGGCCCTGGACCTGGACGGCGGTGGGCTGCTGAGCCAGCGTGAAGTAGTACTGGACGGGCTCGGCAGGAGTCACGGACTGGCGCACCTCCTCCTGTGAGGGGAAGAGAGGCAGGTAAGAGGAAAAGAACAGACTCAGCAGCCGCCAGTGAATTTCCACTCTCCCCCAGACGGACGACGTGCAGTTGCCTGCCGAATGCTGAGCTCTCCACATCTGAAGCCAAAGGAAAGTGGAATCTGAAGAGACCAGTTGTGCTAAATAAAACTAAAAATAACAGATTCTATAGGCTTCACAAAACATACAGCCAATTTTCTGAAGCACTGAGTAATCACCCATTGCGTGATGAATTCCAAACGGGCAAATAATTACCGTAACTAAAAACCACGCACCAGCAGTGCCTGTCAGTAAATGTTGTCAGGGCCTGTGATCTGCAAACAGTGCTAACTCCGAACGCTGGGAAGATGCTACCCAAATCCACCGCCCGGGCGGGCTCCCCATCTCCCAGACAGGCCGCACTCCTCTTAATGTGTCTGACCACCCCAGGAGGAACAGAGCAGGGTATGGGGAAGAGGGCTCTCCCTGGGCCAGAAGTTCAGAATCAAACGCCAGGATCGAGAGCACTGGTGGGCAAGGGCCCGGCCTGTCAGAGCACACTGACAACTCTGTGGTCACGGGGGACAGTCTACACAGCACCACACCTGGTTCTGATTGTACTTAGCCACAGAAGCGCAACCCAGGGGGCCTGATGGACAGCTCTCCGCTGGGGTGCTGCCTTGGCTGACTAGGGAGGTCGCATCTGTCCGATCTGCCGAGTGAAGAGACTGTTCCTTCTTCAGCTGACGTTTTCCATGGCAGAAGGAGTAAACAACCCTCTCCCAGCCACCTTGAGCTCACAGCTGAGAGTGTAGGATGTTTACACACACTACGGCATGGTTTCAGCCCATGGGTCCAGTGGGTCCGCCCCTGACCACTGACAGAGGTCGGCATCTGATCCGGAGTGACCTGTGACACGTGATGCCCCTGTCGGGGACAACAGAAACAACACAGCACAACCACCTGGGCTGGCTGAGTAAAAATCTTCACCACATTTACTCACTTTGTTGTCTTGGGCTAAGTCTGCCAGGTTCCAAAAGAGGAAAGGACGATTCTTGTAGGCACGGAGACCCTCTGGACTGCTTCAAAGCTCCCCGAAGGTGACATTTACAAGGCTGGTACCAACCCCTCCCCTCACTAGGTTAAAAGCCCCGGTCTGTGCTTCCCCTAGGACTGTCCTCAGTACAGGCTGCCATCCCTGTGTGTCCGATCGACAGCCTGCCTGCTCAAACACACGCCCTGCAAGGCCCCACCTGCTCTCAGCTCCCCATCCCTACCACTCCCATACAGGCTCTCTGTAAGGGTCTGCTGGGTGACAAGTGGACTCACACAGATAAGCAGACAGATGCAGGCAGGAGAGCACTCTTCTAAATCCAAGTTGGAGGTAGGCCTCAGACTCTTGATCCCAACACCATCGCCAATAGAAAAGTCCCTAAACTCTCTTTCTCTGGGATTCTGCAGCCACCATGTGACGATAAGCTGATGTCCCATGTAGAACTCAGATGATGGGACTTCCTTTGCTCAGGGCCCAGGATACTGAAGCAAATATCGCTAAAGCAAATCGCTAAAGTCCAGATCTAACTTATAAAAGCCTGTGGGCGATGGCAGGGTATGAGGACTAAGCCCAGAACCAGTTATGGGAAGGCAGGGAGGAAGGAGACACTGGGCTTATCTAGCCCTGACCTGTGACTGTTCTGTCTCCAGCTACCTCTGACCGGTGCTGACCTGGTACTGAATGTGGTCTTTATCCCAGACAAAAAGCAATTCCTTTAAACACCCCTTCCAGAAACCAAAATATCCCTTGCTCAAGCTGTGAGAGCAGGTATGGGGCTTCTGCTCTGCGCCCACTAGATCCTCCTGGCCACCTGTGAGCCAGGCAGAGCTAGGATAGGTGTGTGCACCAATCCAAGGTGCACAGGATGCGTTAGGACAAGGCATGACTGTTCTCAAGTCAACAGGATGCAAGGAGGTCTCTCTGAGGTTCTTCTGCCTTATGACGGCTCATTATTTTGCCAATGGAGGTCAAACTAGCAAGAGAATGATTATGCTTGGTTTAAAGGAATGAGTGAAAAGACAATGACATTTCAATGGGCAGGAACTTTCAACTCATAGCTTTAGTGGAGCAGAAGTCAGGTCTCAACCACCTTCTACTTTAACAGTCTGTACTTTCTTCCCGAAGAACAAGAGAAATTCCCAAGCCTCTCTGAGCAGTCAAAGACATCAGACTCACAAGCCAGTATTTCTGGCCAGTTCCTCTTCACAGCAGTGGGACATCACTCAGTGCTAGAACAATCCCTGAATGACTAGATCACTCCAGAATGCAGCTCGTGCTTGCCCCGCCCCCAACTCCACCCCAGCCAGAGGACTAGCTCTTGGCATCTTTTCAGAAGCTGAGACTGACAGTGCCAGAAAATGAGCAGCGCCGTATCTCAGGGCCATTACCACCGCGCTGCGCAGCCAGCCCCCAACTGGAAAAAGTACATTCGCTTCAGTAGTGAGACTGAACTGCTGCCTCCTTCAGAAAGGGTGAGTTTTGGAGAGTAGGCGCTTTTAAAGGACTTTAGGAGGTGCCAGCCAAATTGGAGCTTGGGAAAACTTCGTGTCTACAGAGGATTAAAAATGCTATCTTAGAATTTCAGGCCAGCTTTCAGCAATTTCAACCTTTCCAAGGGAGGCAGCAGCTGTCCCGAACAGGATGCCAATCAATGGCCTGAACACCTACAAAGAAATAAATCCAGGCAGGGAGGACTGTTTCAGCTGAACACACTTTGCAGGGAGGTGGGTCATAGCGTTTTGAGTACGGCGAGGTGGAATGAGGCACTGCTGGACACCCTGAGAGACAGCAGCACTGAGGACTTTGGAGGGGAGGGCAGGATGTGCCCCTTTCTCCAGCCAGTTTATTCAGCAGGCAGCCCACAGAACAAGGAGTTAGTTCTATGAGGGTGGGCAAAGCCTGATTTCATCAGAGCACATCATCCTGTTTGTAAAGGAGGCTTCTGACAGACACACAGAAAAATTCCAACAAGGAAAGCAGGTGTGTGGTATTATCTGTCTGAAGGAAGGGACGGACCTGAGTTCTCGTGGCTTCTCAGAGAGGAGGAATCGAGTGCGTGGGCACTAACCTGCAAAGTTTCAAGGCCGATGTGCAGCTGGGGATGACCGTGGCAGCCTGCCGCTGTAAACATCCGACTGAAAGCTCCTCTGAACACCTTACAGCTTCCAGTCAAGGATGTTTACAGTAGCAAAGACTGCCCAGAAAGAACGGAGACGCAGTGAGGCACGTCTGCTCTAGCAAGGAGGTAACACAGGCTTGCTAACCCAAAGGCCCTCATGCAAGGTCAGAACCACAGTGGTGGACTAAGGGGCCCACTTCTACACCTTCTCTGACTGGTTACTGACGTGGGCCAGCACGGGGAGAATGGCTGTCTCTGTGTGAGTCTATGTCTAAGGATGCTGTACTGTAAAATCATTCACTCGAAACACTTAACACTCTGGTAAGAAAATAAAGCAAGCAAAACAAGGAACAGCTCTGCTCCTGCTAGACTGCCATTGTCTCCCAAGTGCCTCTACTACACCCGTGAGTCATGTACTCTGTGTGCCTAAAACAATAAACTATACAGGACAGGGTCTATTACAGTTGCAATTAAGAGGTACACACACTCATGGTGCTGAAAATACACCTGGTGTGACCTTTGGAGACAGCCAGGCAGAAGAGAGGGGAAGGCACACACTGGCATTCTTTCCTGTGGTTGCTTAGGAAACAGTGCAAGTGGTGGTTCTCAAATTTGGTTGCACATTCAAAGCATCTGGGGAGTTTTAAAAAGCAATGATGTCTGGGCCCCCTTGTCACAGATTCTGATTCAGCTGATATGGGGTGGAACCTGGGTGCTGGTATTGTTGGGCCCAACAGGTGATTCTAATGTGTAGCCAGGGCACTGTATCAAGAACCACAACACAGAGTAAGAGAAAACACAAGTCCATGCTCTACGAGGACCACTGTGAACACAGAACTCACTGGGAATGTTCTCCGCTCCAGATTAGAACTCTCGTAGACTTCCTAAGACACCTGAAAGGAACTTCACTGGCCTGTGTGTAACTAAGGTCTGGAATTGTCATGTTCGCTAAAATGCCACCTCAGGTGCACTGAGTTAAAAGTCTCCGTAAATGAGTAACAGAAAGAGATGTTAAGGATGAATCTGGTCTACAGAGGAAGAGCAGAAGGAGGAGCCGATGGCTTGTGCTGAGAGGAGGAGCGTATCGGACACCAGTGCGGAAAGCACTCTTCAGTCAGCAGCAGCCTTCCCAGCTCACCTGACGCTTTGGAGGTTTCAGTTCATCTCTTGGAACAATATCGATGAGAAAGTCAAACTGGTCAAATTTTGTAATTGCCATGGCGATATCATTTCTCTGTAACAAAGAAAAGCAGAGTGAAAAATTAGCCTGAGGGGAAACTAGTTCACTTGGTGTTACATCCTCCAAGTAAGATAAGAAGATGACTTTTAAGCCAAACTAATACCCACAGCCAAGTCTATTACTGAAATAAGCACAGCCAAACTCTTATAAATAAACGTGAAATGATCAGGCTCAGCGGACAGACAGCAACAAAGAAGAGATACACGGAGCTCCTACCCTGAAACGGGATACCTGAGCCTCCAGTCACCAGTACTCCGGCTCCATCCTGTTCTAAGGCCCTCCCCACGACTGTCAAGTAATCATCTTCCAGCCAAATTATTACAAATCTAGTCATCTCAATTGGTGGGTTTCTGGTCACTGTATGGTTAGCCAAGTTAAGCTATTATGCAATTTTATAAAATTTTTTAGGATCTAAATAATATTTTGTCTCTGGTTCACAAACAGTTACAACCTACTGGGTTGTTGGAAAGGTCATGATGTATTTTTCTGTTTTTCTATGCAAAAGTGTGTCATGACTTTTCTGACAACCCAGTATTTTGAATCTCTTAAATGAGACCCTAATTCAGTAACTTTTGGAACATTTTATAGTCACTAGATCTACCTATGTTCCCACAAGGCTATGATTTTTATTTTGGAATACAAAATTGCAATGATAAATCCATGCTTAAATCTGGTTTCATGAGGTAGGAATATTAGAAGTCTGAAGTTATTAGAATAGAGGCAGGGTGGGTAGAGAACACGGGAATCAGCTGATTAATGATACAAAGCCAAAGTGCAGTCTAATGGGGTTTCTTCTCCAAGTGTAGTCCCTTTCTCTGAATAATACAATTTAAGAAATTTTATTACACTCAACACATTATGTGTACTTAAGATTTGTGTACTTGGAACATTTTTAAAGCAGAACAAAATGAAACACTGAACCCTAATGAATGGTATGTATGTTGAAGTATTTAGGCGAAAGTAAACTTTGAAATGCACTTAAAAATAGATGACTTGGATGGACAGAAGGATTGGTAGATAAGTACAGTAAAATGTTAGTGGTAGAATCTAGCTAGTATGTGTGCACTGTAAACTGTGCTTATGTTTGAAATTCATGATAAAATGTTGGAGGGAAAAGTCAACACACTGACAGAAATCTTCAGCAACCTCTATACCCCACCCTAAGAGAAGATGACTCATCACAAAATAGAAGGGGATGGAAATTTTCTGTTTTCCTTTCCCTGTATCTATCTGTAATGGCCCCAAGCCACTGAAATACAAAACTCTAGTCTACCCCTCTTGCCAACCACCAGCTTGAGAATAAACCCTCCCAACCGAAGCAGGGCACATCTTAAGACTGCCAGGACTCATTTAAGATGAGTACAATAGTGTCACATTCTTGATGATGTCACCTACCTGAGCTATCTAAATGACTCATCTATGGATGGAATGAGAGGGGGGGAAATAATCACTTCCAAACATATGCCAGTGTTCTAGAGCACAGATACACTTAAACTGGTCTTTCTCATATTATTTTGCCTTAAAAAAAAAAGTTGGGGCCTGCAGGTGGCATGGTGGTTAAGGGTGCTAGATTCCCACATGGCCAACTGCGATCTGAGTCCTGGACCTGGCAGCTTGCTTTCTCACTTTCTCTCCCCTTCTCCCTCTCACTCTTGCTTTAGCTCTGTCCTTCACTGGTCAAATTAAAATAAGTAAATAAATAAATAAAAGTTAAATAAAATAATAGCAATTGTTATTTTGAGAGGTTTTTGCTATAGGGCGCGTGCGCTCGCCAGAAAGAGAGAGAGAAAGCGAGAAATCACCCCCCGGGGAATGGCCACACCACAATCCCTTCTCCTCCATTCTCCTCTCAGGATCTTGGGCATGCATGCACATGCGCCTGGTGTGAGTTTAAGCCACCAGGTGCGGGACTCAAACTGTGGTTGACTACATAGGAGTCCAGCGACATAGCCATTACGCTAACTGCTGGTCCCCCCCCTTTTTTTTAAGTAAACAAAGAGAAGGTTTCTTGTTTTGCTTTGGTATTTTTTGAGAGATTTTTGCTATAGGGTGCAAGAGCTCACCAGAGAGACAGACAGTGATACAGAAAGTGAGAAATCACACCCCGGGGGCGGGGAAGGGGGTGGCCACACCTAAATCCTTTCACCTCCATTCTCCTCTAGGGATTTCGTGTGGGTTTTAAGCCACAGGGTCCAGGACTCAAACCCGGGTCGACTACATGGGAGTACAGCGATATAAACCTTATACCATCTGCTGGTCCCAAAGAGAAGCTTTTAATAGAAAATGAAGATTTTTACGTGGGTAGGCTGCTGTTAGAGGACAACTGCTCTGTTTTGCCTTTTTTTAACACTAACATTTTTAGAGTTATTAGTAAACTACAGAAATCTTCAGTACACAGTTTCATGGATCTTGATAAATGTATGCACCCAGGTAGAGAACACCATCAAGTCCCCTTCCAGCCCTCTCAGGCATTGCTCTCCCTTCAGGTCCTCTAAGTCGGAGGCAACCACAACTCCGATTTCTATCACCATTTAAGGAGGCAGCAGTGTGCGGTATGATATCATGCACTACATACTGTTTTCCTCTGGTTTCTTTTGCTTAGCATAGTATCTTTGGGCTAGCCCTTATAGCCTAGTGGTTAAGGGAGTCAGAATCACACATCGCTGACCACAGTTCAGATTCTGGCCCCAGAGACTTGAAAAACACGCTGGGCAGATGTGTACACATGCCCCAAATTCCAATAGAAGAAACAGAGACGGGATCGTGTGACCCCACCCCACTGGAGGGTTTTCTCTTCCTGGCTAGTACACATGCCTTTTAGCAACTTAAAAAAAAAAAGTCAAAGGGTGCAGTGGTAGTTAAGGTACTGGATCCCACACAGCTGACTCAGCGGCTCACTAGCTACTCTAGTGGGTATAAACCAGCGACTTGAAAAACACACTGGGTGCAGGTGCATGTGTGCCCAAAATCCAGGAAGGAAAATGAAGAGAAGAGACTGGCATGGCCGTCTCCCTGGAGAGTGTGTGCACATATTCTCTCTCTCTCTCTCTCTCTCCACTCCCCCACCCCCCAGCGAGTGCACAAGCCCTATGCCAAAAATAAATAAATAAATATTAAAGAAATGTACCTTTGAGATTAATCTATGCTTTATGAAACAACAGTGTGTTTCTTTTTACTGCTGAGTAGTAATCTATTTCTTAAATATATTTGTTTATGTGTTACTGTATTTATGGATACTTGAGTTTCCAGTCTGAGGCTATTATAAATAAGGCTGTTGGGAGCGCTAGTATACAACAATGTCCACACTTCCTCTGGATGCACTAGAAATAGGGTGGCTGGGTCACAGAGCAGGGACATATTTAACTGTAAGTGCCACGAAGGTTTTCAAAGTGACTATACCACTTCCCATTCAGACTAGCCATATCTGAGTTTCAGATACACACTTCCTCACCAACAGGGTATTGTCAGCTTTTTATCATCATCATCCTCATCACTGTTAATTGCCAGAGGGTACAGCCATCCAAGGACAGAGAGAAAGAGAGAAGTAAAGAGAAAGCACCCCTAATAGGGTGTGATCACACTATACCGCCTTCTGCATTTCTCTATCCTGTCAGGATTGAGGGCACACGTGCACACGTGTCCAACATGTCTCTCAAGCCACCGGGGATAAGATGTGAACCAAGTTGTTAGCCATGTGGAATCCAGCTCCCCTAGCCTAGTGGCTTGTCAGTCTTTATTTTAGCTATTCTAGTGAGAATAAACCAGCATCTCTTGGGTCGGTGAGCTCTCTCTGGAAGTGCATGTGCCCTCTGGCAATAAAACAGAACAACAACAAAATACAAGCAGTATCCGACTGTGGTTTTAATTTGTATTTCTGATGACTAATGATATTGCATACCTTTTCATAGGCTTACTGGTCTTCTGGATGTCTTCTGTTTTGAAAGGCTGTTCGAGAGTGTCACTCATTTTATTTTTTAATCTGAATTGATCTTGAAAATAGCGTTAAATGGATCTTCCTAGATCCACTGACCTAATTTTTGTCTGTTTTGTATACTGTTTTAAATCCCCAGAGTCTAGAACAGTGCCTGGCACATTGTGGTGTTCAATAAATATGTGTAGACTACATGAATAAACACATGCATTTGCAATTCTGTAGGCAAAAGGAAAGAAGAGAAACCGTAAGTTGTTTTTTTCACCTTAAGATATTGGCAATGCTTTGTGTCTGTGACATCCTCCCTCTTACACCTGGGAAAGCTTTCCTTGAAGAGATAGGTAGAGCCTATTGAGGGGAGGGTTCTAGGAGCAAAAAGGAAGGGTTCTACACACAACACAAACACTGATTTGCTGGACTGAAATTTAAACAAACAAACAAACAAACAAACAAAAAGGAAAGATCCTCAGGAAGGCAGACAAAGAACAAAAAAGTTAATGAAGTTAATGAGACTGCTAATTCGTCCTGAGATTATTCTTCCCTGGAATCTCTCAAGGCTCCCAACCAGAAGTCGTTTACTTCTAGGAAGAGCTAAATGCTCCATCACTTGAGCCTCTGTTTACAGTAGAGTTCACCAAGTAAAGAGTTCAGTCACTGAGCTGTGAAACCCATGCGAGGATTGAAAATTAAGCTTCTTGGCTCAAGGAAACACCATTGCCATGGCTGAAAGATATGTCTGCCTCTCAACAGTGGAGGAAGATGCCGATTACACATCAGTTTCACAGAGGCCTAAGGAAGAAAATCTCTGGTCCAAAGCCATGTGAGAGAAGCAGGCAAAGGCAGCTGCTTGCCCCCGTTTCCCAGTCTAAGTCTGCAGTATTACCTGTAAAGTCCGACGCTTGTTATCCTCTGTGTGGATCCAGGCTCGAAGAGTCAATTCTGTGATAAAAATCTGGGCTGCCTTGGCAAACAGCACAGGGGCTTCTGCACTGATCATCTGCAACACAGGTAGGCCTTCCCTGTCAATCACCAGCAAGTCATCTGAAGCAGTCAAGTGTCTCCAGCCATAGTCCCACGGGTGCCATGGGACTATGCAACAAGGATCAAACACTGAGAAGGTGGCAGCCTCAAGAGGTCCCAAGGTAAAATAAATCCATAACAAAGCAGGAAAGAGGGAAAAGGGAAGAGGCAGAAAGAATACTTATCTAGCATCTGCCATGTGCCAGGCCGTCAAAATAGCCTTGCAAAGAGAACAGGATTTAGGAGACTCAAAGTAACTTGATTTGCCCACAGCCATAGAGAGCCAGTAAGCAGCGGGGTTTAGGTTCTAACCTAAGGCAAGGCAATGTGGGGAAAAATAATGTACTCGAGAGCCAATGGATTTAGATGAAATCTTAGGCTTCCCATCCTGTAGGGCTTTTTCAAATACTGAAAAAGAAGGTAGCCTTCCAGACTTGCTGTGGGAATCAAACGAGATCACACATGTACTTGGCATGGGATTTGGCACTTAGTAACAAGTGCTTAAACAATACAAGCTGCCTTAATGTGTGTGACTTTGAAGTTTAAGTTCTTGGTCACATAAGGCTTTACACCCAATTTAGGGAGGTGGTCTCTACAGGACAGAGCCACAGGAATTAAAAAAACAGGAAATAAGAATTGGATTCTCTGTTCTATCACTCTGGACGAGTGGCTTAACTTCTTTGTGTCTTTTCCCTTATCTGTAAAATGGAACTAATGATTTTTCTCCTATCAAATCTCACAGAGTTATTATTAGGAGAAAAGGAGCTAATCACATGGAAAATTGCTATAACCAGTTAGCTTTCTGTGCAAGTACAAGACAATATTAATTCTGAGTGGTAAAGAGACAGAGGTGATCCTTCCCTGAGAGTTGTAATAGGAGGTAGATTTCTAGAAATACAGAAATGGCCAACCCTAAGTAAACCTTCTCGCAATTATAATCTATGTAAAACAAACTCACAGATCAAAATGTTATGACAGGTACACTAATGGCAAAAAGTTCTTAGAACTCAGATCCAAAACTAGAGACTACGATAAGATGTGAAGATGATGGCACTGGTGACATATGTTGACAATGAATGGTGAAAAGAACCGGGTGACATCACTTGATTGCAAAAAACACACACCCTACATCTTTTCAACATTTCCAGAAAAGTGCCATATAATACAACTGTCCAATGTCCACTCACGTAATTTTAGACAAGAACCAAATAAAAAAGCAACCAACAATAAGAGTATTGTTGTGATTTTGTTGTTGTTTAATTAAACTCTGCACACTAGAGAAATGAACGATCACCTACCCATTATGAATAATAAAAATGAATGTGAATTCACCTTCACATCTTCATCCAGTTTCATAATCTTCTTAATACGAGCCAGTGGGAGTTCCTGTACTCGGAAATCTTTCTGAAACAAGCAACAGGACGTGCATCAATGGTGGAGACAATCAACAGGGTGGCAGAGCACGACTGGCGGTGGCAAACATTCTGACTGGCTTAGACCCTCTTTTCAGGGAACAGGGCAGGAGAGACGTGCAGATAAAATAAAATACAACAGCTCGAGGGCAAAATTCTTCACTTAACAAGTGCAGAGCTTCAAACCACTGGAGAGTTTTAGGAAGACCTTAGGATGGTCTCTAACATGGTCCTAGTGAAAGGTAACCCCAAACAGTATCAGGATCGTTGTCAGCACAATCTAAAGATGTATTACAAATGCCTTCTTTTCTTTTTCCCAAGAAAGTTTACCCTCTGTAATATGCAGATTAAAACGAGATTTCTGCTTCAGGGGCATTTTTCTAAACTCCAGCTCTTTGTGCTATCCCGGGAGTAAAAGGGTAACGCTGGCAGCGCCTGACACAGTGGTCCACAGTTCTTTTCAGCGAGGGCGACACTGACCATTTCTGACCTTTGTACTAACCTAACAGAAATCAGGGAGGAGATACTCTTTTCTTTTTAGCTATAGGGTACAAACACCAGCAGGAGAAGAGAGGGAGAAAAAGAAAATGAGAAAGCACCCCCGCAAGGAGGATGGCCATGCTGCAATCTCTTCTCCACTCTCCTCTCAGGAATCTGGGCAGGCAAGGACACTCCCCAGAGTATTTTTCAAGCCCTCAGGTCTGGGACTCAAACTGCAGGCAGCCACATGAAATCTAGCCACCTTAACCACCATGGCATCTGGCTATCCCTGCCTCCTTTTTAATTGCCAGCGGGTGTATGTGTGCTTGCCAGAGAGAGACAGAGAGGGACAGAGCACCTTCCCAAGTAGGCATGGCCAGGCCACAATTCTTTCTCCATTTCTCCCTCCTGTCGGGATGCTGGACACATAAGCACATGTACCTGATATGTTTACAAGTCACCAGGACCAGGACCTGAATCACAGCTGACCATGTGGGATCTGACTCCGTTAACCAGTAGGCCATGGGGCTGGCCCAAGGGAGAAGCTACTTTCTCCTCACAGCAGCAAAGACCTTGGTCTCCAAAATTTGCTTCAGAAGAGTATAAAAACAGGATGGGGGGAAACTTCTCAGCTGCCTTTAATTTATTTTTTAAATAACTATTTATGTTATTTTATTTCTTTAATTTTATTTATTTATTTTTCTTCAATTTGACCAACGAGAGAGAGGGAGAGCAAGAATGCAAGCCACCAGGTTCAAGACTCAAACCATGGTCGGCCGTGTGGGAGTC